CAGCTGCTGGAAGCACTATAGTTAATAAAATTGCTGGAAAAGGTGTTTTGTATATTAAAGATGATAAAAGATCTATTAAAGCTAGAAAAGTAGGAAAAGGATTACTAATAGATGAATGGAAAAAAGGAAGGTATTTAGGAAATGGGTATTACTACTATTATGGAAAAGGAACTGGAAACGATAAACAATATGAAAAAGTAGGAAAAGGTTTAATATTAGGTGAAAATTCACCATTTAAAAATATCCCATTATTAGGTTGGATTCTTTAGGTCCTAAAAGGATCTAGATATAAATATATATTTATGAAAATATATATTTCATTTAGCATAGGTTCTGAAAGAACCAAGACTTCGTTGGATCCTTTCATGATCTACCATTTAAAACAGATAAAGGAAAATAAAAACGATCAAAACCATTTCTATATTTTCCATTTTTCACATCTGATGATAAATCAATAACAATAAATTTATGTGGTTTTGACCAAACTATTTTACAAAAGTTTTTAAACTCTTCTTTTGACATATCATTTGAAACATGGTCATTATAAATATGATTTACATTTTTTGAATCTTGTTTAAACAAGCATATAAAATTTGCATTTTCTCTTATTGTTTTCCTTGGTAGCATAAAATAATTTTGCGCTAAATAGAAACAATCTACATTACTATGCCTTCCTCTTATATAGTACTTTTCACACTTGTTTTGCTTTGTTAATTGTAAATCATCGAATATCATTAAATTAATTTTAGTAAGATCAAGATCTTCAGGTTCTGGTACATCATCTGCTGTTTCATAAAACTGACACTCCATATCTATTTTATTTTTTAAATTTTTTGAATGGACTTCAATTACAAGATCAGGGCTGATATCCATCTTATCTATTTTATCTTGTAACTTAAATATTTTAAGAATATCTTCTTTTGGTACTTTTTTTTCAAAAGAACTTTTCAATATTTTGTATTCAGGTTGAAAAAGAGATTTTCCAAAAACTTGTAAATTATTATAGTCCAACCAATCAGGTCTTATAAGTAAATTTAATAATAAATTTGTTTTTCCACAACCAGACTTCCCAACTATAAGTCCTCTTATACTTCTTGGTAATAACTCATTATTATGACGATTATTTTTATTTACATTATATGACAAATCTAATACTTCCATTTTCTTATATAAATAATTTTTTAAATTAAATAAAAATAAAGTAATAAAAAATGTATTGCGTTAAATGTAGAAACAAAACAGATACACTCAACTTACAGCATGTTGTAAGTAAAAACAATAGAAATATGCTTCGTGGAAATTGTGCACTATGTGAAACAACAAAAACTCAATTTACAAAAGGAAAAAAAGGAGGTGACTTGGTAGAATCAATTAATAAATTCACAAGTAATAGAAAATTACCTTTGCAAAAGTTTCCAGGTGAAATGCATATACCAGGTATGAACTTTGCAGGACCTGGTACTAATTTAGATGAAAGATTAACTTCTACTGAGATGCCTAAAGAATGGAGTATGCCTGTAGATAGAGTTGATAAAACAGCTTATATTCATGATCTTGCTTATAAGCATTATCCAGACAAAGAGCATAGAAATTTAGCTGATAAAATGATGCTTGAACAAATGGATGCTATACCTAATCCTACACCTCGTGAAAAATTGGAAAGAAAGATTATAAAACCTATTATATCTGCTAAAGTAAGGTTTGGTATGGGAAATAAAGAACCAATGAGTATTAAAGAATTATGTCAAAAAAACTACCAGCGCACAGGAAAAAAGCAAACGACGTAGCAAAGCAAGGATCCATTCGGAATCTGAAATGGACTGATGAACTTGCAAATGAACTTCATAAACCTGTTATAAAACATTTTAGAAAAAGAAAAGTGTTTGCAAATGGTATTGATAAAATATGGGCTGCTGATTTAGTTGACATGCAAACTTTTTCTAAATTTAATAATGGTATAAAATACTTATTAATGGTAATTGATATATTTTCAAAGTATGGATGGATAATTCCACTGAAAAGTAAAACTGGAGTTGAAGTTGCTAATGCATTCAATAAAATCTTTAAAATTAGGAAATGCGATAAATTATGGGTTGATAAAGGTTTGGAATTTTATAACAAGCATGTTAAAGCATTAGGAGTTCATCTCTATTCAACTGAAAATGAAGAAAAAAGTTACGTTGTTGAACGATGGAATAGAACAATGAAAGAAAAAATGTTCAAATACTTTTCAGCTAATTCTACGAGAAAATACATTGATGTCTTAGATGAAATGGTAAATACAATACAACAACACAAAGCATTCTTCAATTAAAATGACTCCAGCTGAAGCAAGCGATAAAAAGAATGAAAATAAAATTTGGTTTAATCTAAATGGTAAAGTAAAATCAAATCCTATTCAACCTAAGTTTTCAATAGGTGATAAAGTGAGAATAATTAAAATGAAAGGAGCGTTTGAAAAAGGATATACACCAAGATGGACTGAAGAAGTATTCACAGT